TGCGAAAAGGAGCATTAGTTTCTGATATAAAAGCCAAAGATTTCTTTTTTATTCATAGAAATCATCCAACACTTATTTGGTTGTCAATTAAGTTTTGGAGAGTATTCGTAAATTTTTCTGCTATCCCATCACTATAATTATCACTTTTAATAATTTCATTAATTTTATTGCTCGTTTCTGACACTCATTTTTTCGTTTCGTCCAAAAGGTTTTGAATTTTTTCTACTTGTTCTTCCTCGTTTTCCCCCCCCTGATTTTCCCGTAATGGATTTTTCTGTTTCTGGGCTACCAAGCAAATTCCCCCACCACCAAGTAATACTAGACTAGCAATAACTGTAATAGTTATTAGTATTTTTTGTTTTTTTTTTTTTTCATTGTTGTTCACCCTTATTATTCTTTTTTCTTTTCCCGAGAATAGCACACATTAGCCCTGCAAAAAAATCCCCTGAATTTTGTTGGATTATATTAATATTTTAGCGGACAATACATTTTTCGAGTTTCCTGGTTTTGATTTCCGCATTATTAATCGCCAAAAAAGTTATTTGCCGTTTTTAGTTTTAACTAAATTACTTAAATTAATAAGGATAAAAAACGGACATTCATTCTGTCCGAGATAGTAATTGACAAAATAACTTTTGCTTTGATTGCTTTAAGTGCCTTGTAATTATGGTTCGGCCAAAAACAACAAAAATTTTGGGAAGTAATAATTAGCGGCGTTTATGCAATACCAAAATCTCTTTAATAAAATCCCTTAACTGCCGAGGGTTATAAGCAAATTGAACTGACATTATACTATGTGAAATAAGCCTCAATTCTTTATTCAACCAAATCTCTTGAATACTAGAAACTAGACAAATTATAGCAGACATCAATTTCGTATTTTGTAATAGTACAGCAATGGGATTTAACGTGGCCAAAATTTTACACTATCTAGATATAAAAACAGCAATATTAAAAATAATATATAAAATTAAAAATTTAAAAATATGGAAAAATTAACAATAGAAAGTAATACTAAGAGAGAGAGAGAGAGAGATGAAATAACGGAAGCGGGGGAAGGAAAAAATAAACCGATATTAAGCGATAACCAAGCCATAGCCATTTTGGCCGCTAAAATGGAAGAAAACGAAGGACAGTTAATCCGCATTGTAGAAAAAATTAATGAGATAATTGAGGAAAACATGGGGCAGGTAACTAAAATTCACACGCTAAAATTATGTTTATTTTGTAATCGTGGTGCTTATAACAGCCAAAGAGTTTGTAGCAGTTGTATTGAGGAACGACGGCCTAGATTCTCGATATTCTGGTATATTCTTTTGACTATTCTTTTAATTTTTCCTGGTTACATTTATAAAACTTTGAAAGAACAAAGCCAAAAAGAATGAGATTTAAAATATCTTTAAGGCAATTATATAAGAAATTACCCTAAAAAAAATATCTGGTCGACTTGGCTTGGTAAAATTGTATGTAATTGCTAAATTTTATTGGTGAACAGAAAAAAATATCTCAAAAATGGCTCGGTCACTTTT